GCCTAAATTACTTCGTTAAATCCTGAACCGATTTGAACTCATAATGCTAAACATGTTAAGCCTAAATTACTTCGTTAAATCCTGAACCGATTTAAACTCATAATGCTAAACGTTAGGCCTAATTAATTTTTTTAAAGTCTGAACCGATTTGAACTCATAATGCTAAACAAATTAAGCCTAAGTCACTTTGTAGAATCCTGAAATGAATTAAATTCGTGATGATAATTAAAGTATAAATGCAGTTCGTTTTAATATCTGGATGTTTATCTTAAGCACAAATGTACACAAATATGGCCACAACAAAGATCGAACTTCAAATTTAAACGCTATAAGCCATTAAGGTTAGCGCTGAGTCACCGGAGGGAGGGCACTTCCTGGGTAAAAAGACGTTTTAAAATTATGTATAAAAAAATTCCAGTTAAGGCGCAACTGGTATAAAACCAAACTTTTATATTGTTGCCGATATTTAATATATACAAAACACAATACTTCCTAGACAGTCCTGTACTCATTCCTTTCTCAGTTCAAGAATGGGTTCTTCTTTATTTACATGCTCCACGTTTCTGTAAAGTAATATAATTTTATTCCGTTCCTGCTTTGAATCACAACTAATTTATTATTGTCACATGATCTGGACGCACTGTCGAATCCTGCGCTGCGAACGCGAACTGCATAGGAAATGAAGCTGAGTGCACGTGCTTGATACAGCCAGACACCTTATTTGAAATGACTGAACCAATACCGTAGTGTACAGGGTGCATCACGTGAGTCGCACGCTAGATAACAGAACGGAGATCTTGAATGTGAAACGGTTTAAAATGATAGAAATAGTTTCCTTTGCTTGTAAACACAAAACAAAAACTGTCAAAATAGAAAGTTTTCCGTTTGTCTGTTTCGCGTAGCGTTCCGTAACACGTACACACACTGACCTATATAAAAAAAGTATACATTTACGTGCGTTGTTAGAAGACAGCACGAACAGATACACTTGTAAAAGACTGGTCTAGATTGTTCTACGATATAAAAGTTTGGGAAGTGTACTCTTACCCTAACTGTAAACAAGACAACCAAACATAAGATACCTCTTCAATGATCACTGGTCTTTGAGACGTTAGATCCAAATTCCTCGTTAGTCATGCATTTCTTTAATAACATAAACAGAAGTTATCACATTCCAGACGTCGTTGTTACTCGGCTTAGGACTTGCACAAATGGAAAGCATAAGGTCGTGACCTACAAGTTTCTGTACTTTACTCTTCCGCCTATAACACTTGTTTAATACTATACATCGAAGAAATACGTAAACAACTTTTAAAAATGTACCCGGTATTTGTTTACGGGACCGACATAGTTATTCAAAATACAACAGCTTCGACATGTAACTGAACAAACACCAGGCTAGTTGCCAATATAACACATTCAAGAGCACTCATTTTTTAAAGTGTTGTGTGAACCTATTTTAATGTGTTTAGATATTGGTATACGCAAGACTACTTGATTGAGAAAATAAAGAAGACACGACAATAGAGCATGGTAAAACAACTCCACTGGCACTAATCGGTTGATTTCTAATCAAGATTTAAAAGCAGCGTGATATGAATGACTGAAATATATGTAACGCTTTGTGGTTGTAGCTCTTAAACAGGTCTGGCGCAGTAGGATGATTAGGGCACTCGCTTCACAACCTGCGAATCACGGGTTCGAATCTCATCTCCGAGCGAGCTCTTCCTTTCATTTTTGGTGGCGTTATAATGTGACTGGCAGTCTCATATTTCTTTGGTAAAGTGTAACCTAAGACTTGCTAAGTTAGGAACGGCTAGCGCAGATATCTCTCGAGTAGCTTTGCACGAACTTCAACAAACAAACAAGCAATAACTTCCTTAACCCCGACTACCACAGTATATATATATATATATACTCGCATTTCATGTTCATTCTGAATATATATATATACTCGCATTTCATG